CTATGTGCTGAACACAGTGCCAGGTACTAGGGACACAGAAATTGATAAGAAGTAGTTTCTGCCTCTGAGGGTTCAAATCCCAGATATGCCACTTTACTAGCTGTATGACTTTATTAAGGAGACTAAGAAGTGGCTGGAAAGGTAGGAGGAAGATTCAAAGAGAATGGTGCTCTGGCAGCCTCCTCAGGGGGGAGGGAGAGATCAACTGTGTTAGATGCTGCTTGATCGGTTAAATAACATAAACACTGAGAATTTTCATTGGCTATGGATACACAGATGTTACCAGAAAGCTTGACAAGAGCTGTTTTAGTGGAACACTGGGGGCAACAACCAAACTGTGGAGTAGGCTCAAGAGGGAAATGGGGTCAATGATGCGGAGATGGAGTGCATGATGTAGAGATAGTTTTGCTGTAAAGGGAAACAAAGCAATGCAGTGGCAGATCATAAGAGGAACAGGAGATTTTGGAACAAGTATTTTTACCATTGAAATGATCAAGAGGAGAAATTTTGATGATTTGGGGATACAGCTGCTGGAGTGAGAGGAGATAGAGATGTATCTAGTGCACAAGTGAGGATGCTACTCTTAGGAGCGTGGAGATGAAGTGTAGGAGGACAGCGGAAAGCAGGCTCATAGACAAGAGACTGACCTTCCATTGCTTCCATTTTCTCGATGAAATAAGGAGAAAAGTCAGAAGCTAAAGTGAGAAGTTGGGAAAAGGCATGAGTGATTTGAGGACAAAAGAAGGGTGTAGATAGTCATTCTGGGGAATGGATAGAAAATGAGTTGACTAGGGCGTGTAAATTGGGTTGTTGGGATGATTCAATTAGATAGTGAATGAAAAGCATTTAGTACGATGCCCTCTACATAGTGAATATATTTAAAAATAGTTATTAATTAAGTCAATCTGGTGATGACCTCAAAGTACTTTGAGAATATGGAGGAAACACACCTCCGAGGAAACCTGGGGAGCTATCCCCAGAGTTGACAAATTCAGAGCTGGTCTTGAGGAAAGAAGGAACAACGTAACAAAGAACAATACGTACTACACATAGTACTGCTACTGAGAATGAACCAGCTGGTGACCTGTTTGCATAAATAAAGCTTTATTGGAATGCAGTGATACCCATTTTTCTACAGACTGTCTATAGCTACTTTCACACTATACTGTCGGAGTTAGGTAATTGCAATAGAAACTGCATGGCCTGCAAAGCCATAGTATTCACTATCTAGTTTTTTACCAAAAAAAGTTTGTTGATCCCTGAACATGGAATTAGATAAGGAGTGATTGTGGACCTAAGAAAACAAATTAGAGACACAAACAATATCATTATAGAATGAATCGACTAGAAACAATGAGGAAGAAAAGCAATACCACTAGAAATAGAATTGCTGACCTAGAAGAAATTGCTAAAATCATCAATAGCCAATGTAGTTCGGAGAGGAAAAAACTCATGGATTAAAGCAATCAGAAGGAAAACAGAAAAATATTGACAAATCTTACTCTCCAACTCTCCAGAAATTTAGAACAGCTGAAGATGATCTCAAGGATATTTAGTATTCCTAAAGTAGAGAATATAAAAAATATGGAATAGAAAGAGTAAGAATTAAAGTAGAATAAAAGAAATTTTCCAAAAAATGCAGAAAGAATTGAATCAGTCACCCTTAAAGATCATACCATGTTCCAGGAAACCTTGATCTAGGACACCGCACAGTGAATCATATTCTGATTCAGTTTTAAGAATCGAGAAAATCTTCAGGTATCCAGGCATAAATTGCAAATGATCCACAGGGATAAAAAATTGTGAGGAATCAGATTTCCCCACAGCAACAATTAATACCAAGACACAATAGAATAATACCCATAAAGCTCTGAAGGGGAGAAAATATTGTTATTTTTCATAATCTGTCAACCTTAAAACAGTAGCTCCCAGACCTAGCTTCACATTAAGATCTCTGGGGAAATTTTAAAAATGTCCCATGTTCAGAGGCCACCCCAACTCAGCTGGATCAGAATTTCTTTGAGTAGAGCCTGGAGAAGGGTATTTTGCAAAAATTCACCAGGTGACTCTAAGTGAAAGGTCAGGATCCTCAAAGTGTGGACCCTGGTTCAGCAGTAATGAGCCTGGAGCTTGGTAGAAATGCCCAGTGTCAACACCTACCCTAGACCTATAGAAATAAATGCAGACCTATCTGTATTTTAACAAGCTGTCTAGGAAATACAGATTTGAAGTTTAAAAAGGCGTGAGGAAGAATCTCTCTCTCTCTCTTAACATTGTGTTCACTTTATTGTTATAAGGACTCACTGGCTCTGAGAAAGGGTTATCTTTTGGTGTGGTGACTTACTGCTCCTTAGAAGACCAGGGAGTAACCACTGTGTGAATGACCAAGTGAAGCAGAGGCCAGTGCTAATGGAGAATGCCATTCAAGTCCCAAGGTCTCTGTTTACGACCTAAGCTCAAGTTTCCCCTGCAACAAAGATTGTATTTGGAAGCTCCTTTTGTTAATTCTTCTTTAGAAGACTTCACGTAGGTTCTTCTAAGTTGACAAATGCCATAGATCAGAACCAGAAGTTTCTTGCAGAGGAATCTTCAGGAAAGAATATCTCTTTTAGGAAAGAAGGTCTAGATCTAGATTAAGAGATAAATCTACAAAGATGGATCTAAATACAGATTAATAAAATTTTTTAAAACGAATAACATTTGGATTTTAGCAATGTTTTCTGTTGCATTTAAATTTATTTTTCTTATATCTGAGTAAAATTAAGTTGACTGACTTTTACATAGCATGCATAGAATGATCGCATTACAATAAAAGTTTTTCACCTAATGTTATTTATGATTGGTGAGATTTGAGGTGTTATTTGAATATTCTCCTTCTGCACTGTTGAAATTTCTGGAAATGTAAATTATTCTTCCAAAAATACTAACGTTATTTTTCTAATTAAAAAAAAAAAAAACCCTGGGGGTGCCTGAGTGTCTCAGTCGGTTAAGCACCTGCCTTTGGCTCAGGTCGTGATCTCACAATTCATGTGTTTGAGCCCTGCATTGGGCTCTCTGCTGTCTGCACAGAGCCTGGTTTGGACCCTCTGTCCGCAACCCCCCCCCCCCAACCCTGCACACCTCCCCGCTTATGCACTCTCTCTTGCTTTCAAACAAACAAAACAAAACAAAAACAAAACCCCTCAATTCGTTAATTTGATCAGGATGATCAGAATCTGTGCACCAGCTCACAACAACCAAATTCACAGAGACAGTGAATCAGAATTGCAATTAACATACCCATTCCTAGATCTAAGATATGTCATCCATACAAGGCACCTACTTTTTGGTGACTATATTTACTCAGGACTCTAAACTACACACGAGAGGGCTACTTAATGAACATAGAATTAGAGAAAAGGCAGTGAGTCTTATCTTCTTAGGAAATTTCCTTGAAACTATCATTGACTAACTATCATTCAGTCTTTCACTGAAGTAATTATTCTTTCTAAAGAACTGCTTTCTCATCCTAAAATCAAAACTCCATCTTCCCATCCTAAATATTTACCATAAGTTACAGTTTCCCAAGATTATGACTGATATTGCTTACACTGGAAGAATTTCCAAATCACAAATGCAAAAAGACCATTTCTGGCAAGATTGTTTTCAATCTCAAACATAAATTTAACATCGATGGTAAGCTACAATATCAGAAGTTTGCATCTCATACTTATCTCTAAAATCTTGGATTTATCTCACTTGGGGGTTGTTTGAACCTTCTGTGTACTAAATACATCCTGTTCACTGGAACAAAAAGAGTACACACAGTGTAAGGAAGTAGAGCCTGTGGGGCTTTTCTTCATTTTAAAGATTTAATGAAAAATGTAAGTCAAATTAAATTCCATCCAAGACTTGAAAGGTGATTAATTATTGTCAGTATATCTCATATCTTTGTTTATTAAAAAGACATAAACATTCCACTCCTTTCTTGCATTGGCCTGCATTGAACTCTTTCATGGGGGAGATGGGGACAAGAGACTTTACACTCTACTAATATAAATGCTACAGGATGTGTACGTGTCATAACTTAGGAAGTCAACTCAATATCAAGAGATAATTTTTCCCTGTGGAAAGACTGTCTCCCTCTAAATTTTAAGTAACTAAACCATGATGTATCAACTAAATTTAAGTTTTTAAAAAATTATTATTCTAGGGGTGCCTGGGTGGCTTGGTCAGTTGGGCATCCAACTTTAGCTCAGGTCACGATCTCATGGTTTATGAGTCTGAGCCCCATGTCAAGCTCTGTGCTGACAACTTAGAGCCTGGAGCCTGCTTCAGATTCTGTGTCTTCCTCTCTCCCTGCCCCTCCCCACTTGCTTGCTCGCTCTCTCTCTCAAAATAAATAAATAAATAAACAAACAAACAAACAAACAAACTTATTATTCCATTAAGTTTATGTATATAGGCATTGAATCCTACCAGGTTAGAATCCTAATTCTCCTGTTTTCAAACTAGAGACTCAGTGTAAAACAAAAACCCTTTATTTCTTTCATTTATAAAACAGAAAAAACATCACTTACTTTTTAGGGTTTTCATAAGGTTTGCAAAGTAATATTAAATGTTTAGAGTACATACTAGGAGGTCAATAAATGAAATCCATTTGATAATCAAAGATGTTTAGAAGTGCTCATCCAAATAAGAGTTCATCAAATTTTCATTTGAGAGAAGCTTTTCTCCTGTTTCCCATTTCTCACATCACTGGCCATGCTTGGAGTAGGTGATCAGAAGATAGAAAAGGTATTGGTAATATCTTAATCATTCTCAATTGAGATTCAGATGTAAGCACAAACATACCCACTTAAGTTTCCTTGGTTATCCCCCTAGGAATGAATGCATTGGGATAATGCATACAAACACATACATATTCATAATGTATTTTATACATTAATACAAAACAGTCAAGGATATGCAATACGTTCATTCTCCCACATCTGTGGTGGTTTCTTTTATTCTTCTGTTTGTGCTTTCTTCCTATTTCCTCCCATCCCTTATGAATTTGGGCTCTCTTCTCACTCTACTTCTTTTTATTGGAGAAAACAGCCTACGCTATGCAAATGTTTCTCCAAGTTCTAATTCTAGTCAGTATCTTTTTCCAGAACTACATACCTGCTTCCAACTACCTGTTTGGCATCTCTGTCCTGATGGCACCCTACACTGAATATACCCGAAGCTGCATTCATCATCTTATTCCCCCCAAATTGGGACCTCCTTCTGAGAATCTTATGTCTAAAATTAGAAATGAGATGGTTTGGAGTCTTCCTCTACTGTTACCCTATGTCTAATCAGTTAATCATAAGTCCTTCACCGTGACGTCTTAATTATCTTGTCTCTCCTTCCCATTCCCATTTCTACCTTTCTACTGAGAGAGTCTTACCTCGATTTTTGTAACAATCTCCTAAATACTTTCCCTACCTCCAGCCCCTTCCCATTACAATCTGGCCTACACATTATACCTGGATGCATCTTCCTAAATCACAAAAGCAGTAATTTACCTTCATTCTTAAAATCGCCCATTGTGAAACAGAGGAAATATAAACTCATGCTTGGCATCTAAGATTCCCTGCCAGGTATCATCCAGTTATCTTTTGAACCCTATCGCCCTCGATTCTTTTGACCCCGAGGTTGCATAAATGAATGGCCCCACAAAGGCAGATCTAGTTTGCACGTGAAATTTTCTTTTACCCACACATGGTTTATAAATTGTGAATGTTAGTTGCTTATTTCAATTAATTGCTAACATTTACACATTCTTGCAACTTTGGGGCTACGTTGCCATATGACACAAAGCTGGCCAATGAGTGCCCTTTTAAATGCAATAGCACGGAGAAACATGCCCCAGCTCACCAGAGCCTTCATCTGATTGGTTCTGTATCACTCAATCTGGTACTGGCTCAGTGCTTGTAAGCACATGAATTTATGACACTTGCCTTATACTACCTAGTGCTCCAGCAAATGCATCATTCCCAAACGCACAACTGTCTTTGCTTATGTTATTCAATCTTTGTAGAAGATCTCCCTACCTCTTTCCTGTCTTTAAGGTCCATTTCAAACACTGTATCTTCCATGAAGCTTTTTCTGACCACCCAGCTGGATGTTACTGCCCCATTTTTGAGCCTCGGTAACACTCTGTGGTTCTCCTATGGCCTGTATCCCGCTCTTCACTGGATTAGTCATTCGTATCCTTGACTTCTCGCCGTTTCTCAGGGAGGTGTATTGATGACGCTTGTCCCCCACTCCCCAAGGCTTTCTGAAGGAGGGGTTCTCCTCTTGACCTACACCTTCCCTCCTCCTCCCCAACGAGAGGGAGCAAGTCTCCATCTCTGATGTGGAGGGTGAGCTTGTCAGCAATGCCCGAGCATGTACCTTTGTCTAATTCTGAAGTTCAGGATTAGGAGGCCCTCTGTTGCCACACATCTAAGACAGGATTTTCCTTCCAGGTTTTACTGGCAAATAAAGCCAATATTTTCATCTGCTTGAATACTTATCTCACAACTGTTTTTAAACTCCAGTAGGGAAAAGGAGGGGTTTGTATTGGGCATCTTCTAACCCCAATAATGATTCACTCTGTCTTGAATCTTTCTGAAATTCCCTGCAAAGTCATTTACTGTGCAGATAGGCACTCAAAATACATGTATCAAATTAAATCAAAGGACACAATCAATGTGCATGAAGTTCGTGGAATGTAATTTCTCCTATGCTGTGTTCCTATAGACCATAACTTAAATTTCTTTTTTGTAGTTGTTAATGAAATACAAACAATTCTGTATATTACATAAAACATTTATTTCCTATTTACATTTCCATTTTTATGTAAATCATTGCACATCATATCACATATCAAAAAAAGAAAAAGAAGGGAAAAATATATAAACCCTACATATCAGTGAAGAAAGCATCATACCACGTGATATTTATCAGCAGTCTCGCAGGTCTCGTTTCTTGCCCTTTTTTGGTCTTCTAGTAGTTTCTTGACGAATGGTATCATACTCCAATATGGCCATTTTGGAAAGTCTCTGTAAGAATTTAGATGGTGCTCCAGCAAGAGGATCGCTGAAACCAGAACCTGTAAAGAAAAAGAAATCAGCTATTAAAGTTAAGTTAGTGCATGGAATGATAAGCTCTAAACTATCTCTTTCTCTAAATAAATAAATAAATAATCTCTTTCTCAAATGACCATTAAACACTACTAGTTTTTGATATACCACATTCTTTGAATTAGCAATAGAAAGTGTTTACCTTCTAAAGTGAGTGTGATATTACATCATCTCAAAAAATATTTAACTAAAACAACCTATATGTTTGTATTTAATCATATAAAACTAAATCTGAGTCTGCACTTCTTTTTTTTAATGTTTATTTTGAGAGAGAGAGCATGCATGCATGTGTACAAGCAGGGAAGAGGCAGAGAGAGGGGGGGCAGAGGGAAAATCCCAAATAGGCTCTGTGCTGTCAGCACAGAACCCAACATGGGGCTTGATCCCATGACCATGAGATCATGACCTGCGCCAAAATCAAGAGTCGGACACTTAACTGACTGAGTCACCTAGGCACTCCCTGACTATGTATTTCTTAAAACATGGGATGGCTGTGGAATTTATTCCAAAGCAAAAGGCACAATCTCCATAAATAATTAACTTGTTTCATAATTTATATGCTCATCAAGTTATTTTCTCCAAATATGCTGTTTCTCATAAATGCTAAGTTTAGTAAAATAGCAAAATTGTAAAGTAAAATAATCATTCACTAACTGAACAGCATTACTCAAGCTTCTATTATAGAGTGGTAGTAATAATAGTAATAGATAACATATATTGAATGATCTCTCTGGGCCAAGTACTTTACATTTATTTCATCCATGCAACACTATAAAATAGGTAACTAGTAGTATCTTGGACCACAGATATAAAAAGAAGATTTACCAGGGCTAAAAAATTTGCCCAAGGGCAAAGGATTTGAACCCAGATTCATCAAAATCAAACTTCCTATGCAAATATTACATATTGCTCTAAATATGTAACTATGTATAAATACTTCTATTACAAAATATATAAAACTTTGAAAATATACAGATTCAAACTGTTTTAAAATACTACTACTTAATTTCAAATGGTCATGTATCAGAAAAACTACAGTTATCCAGTATGGTTGTTATTTTTGGTTTGTTTTGTTATTTGAGTGTATAACATAAATAGAAAGTTCAGAGACAGACAAAGAGATAGAGTAGAGGGGAAGAATATGATCAGGATACTGTTCTTAGCAGTACAATGAACTTGACACTTAGAAAAACACTCTGGTGGAGTGCCTGGGTGGCTCAGTCAGTTAAGCCTCCAACTCTTGATTCTGGCTCAGGTCATGATCTCACGGTTTGTGAGTTCAAGCCCCACGTCCAGCTCTGCATTGACAGCACAGAGTCTGCCTGGGATTCTCTGTCTCCCTGTCTCTCTGCCCCTCCCCTGCTTGCTCTCTCTCTCTTTCTCAAAATAAATAAGCATTAAAAGAAAAACCTCTGGCTACAAATGCACTATATTCTAGACCATAAGCAAATGTCAAAAAATTTCAAAATTGCAGTTAAGTTGAAAGTTGTCAATATTAAGATAAATTTTAAATTCTCAAATACTTAGAAATTTATACATACATTCTAGATTATTCATCAGTCAAAAAAGAAATCAAAATAAACATTAAAATATCTGTAACTAAATAATAAAATATTACAAAACTTGTGCAATGCAACAGAAGTTATACATGCAGAGGTTTATACCCCAAATCTCTATGTCAGAAAAGAAGGCTTGAAAATTAATAAGCTAGATATAAGATATACATTAGGAGAATAATAAACCCAAAGAACATGGAAGACAAAAGGTAATACAGGAAAGAGAAGAAATCAATGAAGTAGAAAACAAATTTACAATAAGAAAGAGTTTTTAGATAAGTTCTTGATTGAAGAGACTAATAAAAGAGACAAGTCTCATAAGAGCAATCAAAAAATGCAGAAGGCACAAAGAAATAACATTAAAAAAGAGGAAAAGGTTGGGGGTGCCTGGGTGGCTCAGTCGGTTAAGCATTTGACTTTGGCTCAAATCATGATCTCCCGGTTTGTGAGTTTGAGGCCTGCATCAGGCTCTTTGCTGACAGCTCAGAGCCTGGAGCTTGTTTCAGATTCTGTGTCTCCCTCTCTCTATGCCCCTCCCTGGCTCGTGCTGTGTCTTGCACTATCTCTCTCAAAAATAAACATTAAGGAAAAAAAAAGAGGAACAGGTAAAGCATGTGACTCTTGATCTCAGGATTGTAGTTGTGAGCCCCATATTGGATGCAGAGATTACTTATAAATAAAATCTTAAAAAAATAATAATAAAAATAAAAATAAATAAAAATAAAATCTTTAAAAAAAGAGATAGATAGTACAGATAGAATAAAAACTAAATTTGTGCAATGTATCTGAAAAATTCTATACAATGCAAAAAGTTTTAGAAAATATAACTTACCAAAATTGATTGAAGAATTAGAATGCCTTATAAATCCTAAAATTAAAATGATTGGATCAATATTAAAATAATAATTCTTGCCTTTTTTTTGTTTGATATTAGTGTACCTATACAATTATTTTTATTAGTGTTTGCATGGCTTATATTTTTCCATCCTTGTACTTTTGATCCTTCTTGCCCTTAAATTTAAGGTATGCCTCTTGTAAGCAACATATAGTTATTTTTCTCAGTCTGATACTTTGTTCTTTCATTGAAATATTTAGTCTGCTTATATCTAATTGTTATGTTTAACTTTAAATCTTCAATCTCACTAGTTGTTTTCTATTTGTCCTGTGTTTTATGTTCCTTTTTTCCTCCTTTCTTGTCCTCTTTTGAAATGATCAAGTATTTTCTTGTTATTTATCATATTTCCCCTTTCTATTATTAGCTTGTTACTTGTATTATTTTATTGTTCTTTTAGTGGTTACCAGATTATCACATGTCTCTTTGATATATTACAATCTACTTTAAGTTTGTTATTTCACCATTTTCCAGATAATGCAAGTATCTTACAATATTTTAACTCCACATATGCCCCTCCTACCTCTGTGCTACTATTGTCAAGTATATTATTTCTACATATATTTTTAAACTTCGTAATACTACCGCTACCGCTTTTCATTCTTTCCCAAGTTGTACTTTCATTTTGTATCATTACTCCCTTAATATTTTTTAGTGAAGCTCTGCAGAAAAGAAATTCTTTCAACTTCTATCTGAATGAAAATGTATTTGTTTCACTTTTACTTTTAAAAATATTTTCACTGAATTGAATACAATTCAAGTTTGGCAGTTACTCTTTTAGCACTTGAAAATGCCATTCCACTGTCTTCTTGCTTCCATTGTCTACATTTAAAAAGTCAGTTGTGTATCTTACCATTGCTCCTTTGAAAGTAACATTTGTTTTTTCTCTTTTGGGTGTTTTGTTTTGTTTTGTTTTGTTTTAATTTAGTCTTTTTCTTATGATGTGCCTACCTGTGGTTTTCTTTGTTTCTATCCTGCTGAGGATTCATAGAACTTCTTGTATCTGTGCCTTTGTATTTTTCATCAATTTGGGAACTTATCAGTCAGTATGTAAATAGTGTTCCTGTCCTACTCTCTCTCCTCTTATTCTGGAATTAGAATTACACACAAGTAAAGCAGGTTTACCTTGTCATGTAATGACTTGCACACTCTGTTCAGTATTATGTTTTTTTCTCCCTCCACTTTAACTGGGTATTTTCTAATGACCTTTCATCTTACTAATCCTATGATGTTGTTTTCCACTTTTTCCCCAACTTTAATGCAGTATATTTGACAAATAGAAATTGTATATATTTAAGGTATACAACATGATGACTTGATATACATATACATTGTTACATGATTACCACAATTAAGTTAATTAACACATCCATCACCTCTCATAGTTACCTTTTCTGGAAGGAGATGAGAACACTTGAGATCTACTCCCTTAGCAGATTTCAGTCTACATTACAGTATTATTAACTACAGTCAACTAGGCTATACATTAGATCCCCAGAACTTATTCATCTCAGAGCTGTAATTTTGTATCAACATCTCCCCATTTGCCTCAGCTCCAAACCCTGGTAACCACCATTTTATTCCATATACTTGAGCTTTTTTTTCCTCCCTTGAGATTCCACATATAAGCGATTGATTCCAGTAAGAAAAAAGTTCCATGCAACATTTGTCTTTTTCTGTCTGGCTTATTTCACTAAGCATGATGCCCTCTGGATTTAACCATTTTGTCACAACAAATAGGATTTCCTTTTTTACAGCTATATAATACAGGTATTCCCCAGCCTTTCAAAAGTTCATACTAAGCCACTTTACTTTTATGAAACACTGACATTAGTACCTGTTTTTGCTAACTGAAAGAAGTCCAATAAAGATTTTCACTTTTATTTTAAAAAGGTAAAAACAGAAATAGCATTCAGTGTTTGCTTTGCAGCAAGCCATTTTGGAGGCAACATGCACCCTTAACAGTGAGAGTGGCATCATCAAGTTTCTTCCTGGGGAACTACACTCAGTGTCTCAGCATCACATTGCCACAGCTTTGAAAAATTTCAAAAGTCAGAAACTCAAATGCTATGCAGGCTATGCCATGGCCCACATGAGAGATGGTGAGAGCCTATCCCAGGGTCCTGAGATAATAAAGGTATGTGCACATGGGACATAGCACCCACTAAGTTTACAAAATAGACAAAGCTTAAAAGAAGCATTAACAGAACAAAGCAATTAAATCAGTGGAAAGAAAGGAAGTTAAAAATATAAACATTAGACAACCTATTACATGTAGTAGGAGAAAAAAAATGAGCCAACTTACCCTTTGGTTTCTCCTGAATTGGTACTACAGTGCATGTCTCCTTAGTCTTCCTTGTCCTAAAATTATATATTTTCATAAAATAAGTTTATATAAATCCACAGTACACTAATTTTTTAAAAAAATTTTTAATGTTTACTTATTTTTGAGAGAGAGAGAGAGAGAGCGCACAAGCATGCACGAACAGGGAGGGGGAGAGAGGGAGGGAGACAGAGGATAGGAAGCAGGTCCTGTGCTGACAACAAACAATCAGATGTGGGGCTTGAACTCATGACTTCAGCCAAAGTTGGACCCTTACACTTAACCGACTGAGCCACCCAGACGCCCCAGAGTACACTAATTTAAAATACATAGTAAGAGATAAGAAGTTGTCTCACTTGGTGAAAGACATCACATGGAAAATGAATAAACATTAAAGAAGGCGAATTCATTCTATTGTAACTAATCCAATCAGAAGCAGATATGAACCAACTCAATCCGTCCGTTTTTGTTAATAAATTTTACCAGTAGGTAAGTGTTATGTCTAACTTTCCCCGTATTTATCTTATTTTTTTTAAGTTTATTAATTATTTGTTTATTTTGAGAGAAACAGAGACAGCGCAAGTTGGGGAGGGGCAGAGAGGGAGAGAGAGGATCCCAAGCAGACTCCACACTCAGTGTGGATCCCCAGGCAGGGCTTGAACCCACGAAGCTATGAGATCATGAACTGAGCTGAAACTAAGGGTCGGATGCTTAACCAACTGAGCCAGCCAGGCTCCCCTATTTATCTTATTTTTATCTTAACTTTAAGATAGTGTCTAGTATGCCAAACATCAACTATCACTTATTTGTGCACATTTTACCTATTAATCACCATAAAATCTGAATTTTATCTTAATTAACTTTTGTTCCTACTGGAACAGACCTACATAACAAGTGGGTTATTAGAGGAAGTGTGTCATGATTGAATCTGCTGTGGGGGAGATAATCCATGCGAACTGCAAACTTCCTGTAACTATATTAAACTTTAGAAGTCAGCCAGAATTTTTAGATGCCCTTTACCTCTAGGATTACCGCTATCAGTTATATTACCAGAGTGTGCCTTGAAAGTCACTGAAAATGTATGATTATAATTACAGAAATTTGAAAACACAAACTTTTATCCACATTTTAAAAACAAATGTTCACAAATATTCATATGGAGGGAAACAAGGTATTAAGGGGTTGTACACAAGACAAAGAAAAATGAGTTACTTTCCTGCTTTGCCATGGCTGTTCCCTCACAGGACACTGTGCAATATGCAGAGGAGAATAAAATACTTGCAGGCAACTCGACAGGTTGTCACCAGAAGGGCTAAAATAAAGACACTTGTTTCAAAGACAGTGAAGAGAACTAACATTTACGTTTGCCAAGCACTTCATAAACATGATGGCACGAAGTCACCATTCTTGTACTTCGTATATGAAGGATACTTGTCATAGCATGAATTTAATATATTGAAATGATCTCTCACTGACTACATAAATTCACACTTGAGTCCATGTAAAATGGTGAGGAGTCATTGCACAGACAGCTAAATCGCAAATGGGAAGAAAAAAAAAAACTGAAATAGAGTGAAAACAGTAGGAAGTAAAATGAAGACTTAAAATTAAGAGGTAATTGGGCTAATACAAGGAGTGCTTTCGGGGCTTCCAGTTTCTTAAAGATGGATCATATGCATTGGAAGAAGGGTAACAAGACTGGTCTGTACCAAGAAAAGTCCATTGCCAGAGGCAGTCCTACACCCTCCTCAAAGGGCCCTGGGACTCCTGATGAAAATGACAAGAGTGAGGTGAATGTTAGGGACACAGGTGTGTCAGTAGAGATAGAAACTCACTGTCCTTAAGCAGGTATTTTGCTCATGTTTCCAAAAGCCTCTCTCCTTTCTATCCCTGCCATTCCTCCTCTTTTCCCATTATCTACTCCATTAGCAGCTTACTCTTTCTCTTCCACTATCCCTCAATCTGCCTTATTGCATCATTGACTCATGGAAGAAAGAGTAATTTTGCTTTTAATATTTTTATAGCTTGGAAACCCACCCTCAGATAATATTAAAAATGATGGGAAAGGCTTCATGTATGCTGTTGTTCATTGTGATATTACTTAGGAAACCAAAAAGTCAAAGCAACTTGTAAGTACAATGATAGGAAACGGTTAAATAAACCATGGATCTATCAGTGGGATATAATGTAGCCAGTAAGGACCGTCTGAAGATTATGCACTGACCTGAAAAAGTGAATATATGTGATAATAAGTTAAAAAGGCAGAGTAAAAAATTGTAAGTACACTAAAATCACAGCTAAAATAAAAGTCCATGAAAATGAGGAAGAAAAGAGAACCAACAGCCGATAATAAAAATGGATATGTGAGGATATGTATATTATCAAAGCATTGTTTTTCTTTTTCCAAATTTTCTTCAAAGTTCTTATTTGTTTTCATAATTTCATAAATAATGCACAACTTTTCATTTTTAGCATATTGTAGTTCTCCATTTATATGACCAAAATTTATTTCAAGAGTAATTAGCAAGAACAGTAACACTAGTGGAAAGCTCAAGAAATATATTCTAAGACTTCGATATTTGTGTGCTACATATAACTAGCTGACTTTAAAGCACACTATAGCAGGAAAAGAACATGAAAACATAAATTTTCCCCTAAAGAGAGTAACAACACAGACGACTATAAATGCTTCGTCTTTTTCAGGCTGGCAGAGTGAACAAGTACTAGACATGCAATAAATACCTGATGAATAAATAAATAAACCAAAGCAGCAACAAAATAGAGTACGAGACTGTCTTACTATAGATCCCTTTGGAGAAAGGGGTTTTCTTTTCATGGTATGTCAGTCAGTCTGATTTATAAAAAGGAAGGCAATTACGATAATGTTTTTAAACACCAATATTCAAAGTGGGTGGGACTTTTCTGGCTGACAAACTCCATTCTGATAGTCAGTGCAGGGTTTTCATTAGGCTGACATCTCATTTAGAATCTCCCCTCACACTACATCAGTCAAACTATAAACAAAATATTGCAAAGAGTTCATTTATTTTCATTGTGAAAAATCCCAATATTCTCATAGGCAATCTATTCTAGGGCAACGAATACTTTCAAAAGGATTTCCTTAAATCCTTTCAGGAAATGTCACTTGAAAACTGAGAAAAGTGCCTACTTGTCAAACTGAATAAAACTGCTACCTTAGATTCAAAAAAATAAATCTTTTATGAAAAAAAATATTAGTGGGCAAGAAAGAATTAAATTCACTAGCCAGGAAACCTCTACATTTAGCTGTTACTACAAATAAATGTCAAATGAAAGAGAATTGAGTAGAAATGGTGTACCTGACTGGAGGCATCTCGGTATTAGTATGCAGCAGTCTTGGATGAACTTCCAGTGGACTTGAACTTACACTTTTTTGGCAACTTTGCAGTCCTGGTAAATATGGCATTTTGACACATTCTTTGAGCTCTTCTAGACCAAATGCTGTGGTGTATTCAAATTAAAAATAGTATCATAATCAACTATATTATTTCTTCATGAAATGTCTTCTTTTGTGACATACTAAAACACATAATACAATATACTAAATCAGTCATTAAGTAGAGAAAAATAAAGCTACTGTAATTTATCTAGTGTCTTTCCCAAGAGAATACCTTTTAACTCCTACTATAGGGACTGTAGGGAAGAGACGATTAAGGGGCTGATTAAGAAGTAGAATAAGGAAAAAGGACAGCTTCATGGATCTCCCAGTCGTCACTGTCCCCTGCCTCATTATTTTATATAATTATAATTTCCAGAATATTAGAGACATTTATGTTGAAATAGAGTTTAAAAGCACTTTTAAGACTCTTATATTACCTGCTATTTTAAATCTTTCTACCTTCCTGCTTTTATGTAAGTAAGAGGTATAAATACATGATTATTGAGCTAGCAATGACAGATAAATGAATTTTACTTCAGGCATTGATTTTAATTTTCTCTCTGCAAAATTTCATACCAAATCTAGGAACACGAACACTGAAGCATCAAGATTGCTTCTCCTATTGACCTCACATAAAATTGGACAAAGACACTGTCAAATTATTAAAACAAAACAAAACACAATTTCAAAATGAAGGCAATGAATGGAAAAAAAAACAGATTAAGAAATTAAAGGTTCGGGTGATCTTTAAATTAAATGTTGAGAATTGGTTTTTGAACTTCCCCTCTCTCTTTTTTTGTTTTAAGCGGGGGGGGGGGGGGGGGAGGGGCAGAGAGAGCGGGAAAGAGAGTCCCAAGCAGGCTCCACGCTCAATGCAGACCCTGATGTGGGGCTTGATCCCTTGACCCTGAGATCATAACCTGAGCTAAAATCAGGAGCCGGACACTTAACTGATGAGCCACCCAGATGCCCCTTAAGCTTTCCCTACTAAGTAAGTCTAGCACAGGAATAAAAATAGTATCTAATGGGACTGGAGTTATATTAAATGTTCCAAATGCTATTTTGCAACGTTTGATATTTTCTCATTTGGAAAAAAAAAATTGCTTCTCCTGATCAAAAAACATACAAATTTTCTTTTCAGCAATTAGATTTGGGTATAAAAGGGCAGATAAACTAAAGTATCTTTAATGGGAATCTAGTGAAAACGTTGAAGAAATAGAGCAACACATTCAAAACCAGGAGTGATGAAATGGGTTGGGGAGTTTGAATTTTGTGATTTTGAAGAATTACATCTCTACTTATAAAGCTGAAGACAGAATTCAGGATAAATAAGATAATACAATTATAACTTGAAATATAAATTAAAATTAAGCTATTAATACATTCATACACATATCAAAAGTCCTCAAATCAGTCTTTATCGAGCATCTATAGAATATAAGATACTTTCCATATAACTCGCACAAAAACCAAAGTTTTGGTTAGAATTACTAATACAAAAAGGTGCTGTCAAAGATTTGGGTTTCTTAAAACATAAAAACCAACTTGAGGTGCTTAAAAACAAACACAATTTAGGAAAAGTAGAATGACTCAATGGAGGTATTACTGCACTGATATCAAGAGAAGTAGTTCTTCAAAATTTGCTTCCATCATGATTACAGAATTACATTAAGTAAATTAATTCTAATTTGCTTCCATTTTTATTTTCCATAAGCTCAGGATATTATCCTGACATAAATGTTACAAAAATTATGTCTCTCGACTGCTTAAAAAAAATACATGTGTAAATTGAAGGCACTATTGTTATATTTTCTTCAGCAAAATAATTGTAAAAAAACAAGTTACCTTTCTTCATTTTTTGTGTTTCCAAAACTGCTTTCCTCCAACTACTCTCAAACAGAAAACAGTCAAGGGAATTTCTGGTGACATTAGAAGTATCAAATTTGATTTCAGGGGATAACACTGGCATTGTTTCTTCTTCTTTCAGCAGTGTTGATGAAAGTGAGATGCTGCTTCAGATACAGGACACAAAATACAAAAAAAAAAAAAGTATTGCAGAGATAAATACTCTTTCTAATTTGTTTTCCATCATGCAGAGTAAATACTAACATAGACTTACAAGAAAAGTTCACTTATAACATGTAAATACATATTCTTGGGATTTTAAAGTAAGAGGCCTTTAATAATGTAGCTAAAACAGATAGTAGGAGTCATTTAAAACATTTTAATGAATTCTTTCAAACCCTAGGTCACAGATATTTAGCAATATAAAAAAAACTGAAGTCCAATGGCAAGTTATTGTGTACAAGACAATAAAATGCTTAGGACTCTCTCAAATATATTACCATTATACACAATAACCAAGTGGTACTTATCTCTGGGATGCAAGGATGGTTCAACACCCCAAAATTAATGTGATATACCACTTTAATAAAGGATAAAAAAAAAATCACATGATCATCTCAATAGATGCAGAAAAAGCATTTGATAAAATTCCACACTCTTTCATGATAAAAATCTCAACAAACTAGTAATAGAAATTAGCTCAACATTATAAAGGCTATACATGAAAAGTCCACAATTAATGTCACAATCAATGGTGAAGAATCAAAAGCTTTTCCTCTAAGGTAAGGAATAAGGCAAGGATGACCACTCTTACCACTTCTATTCAACTATAAGTAATAGCCAGAGTAATCAGGGAAAAAAAGGAATCTAGACTGGAAAAGAAGTAAAACCATCCCTATATACAGATGACAGAAATCCTAAAGACTCCACCAAAAAATGATAGAACAAATAAAGGAATTCAACAAAGTTGCAGGATACAAAATCAATAAACAAAAATCACTTGCACTTTTATACACTGACAATAAACTATCTGAAAAGGAAATTAGGAAAACAACCAAATTTACAATAGCATCAGAAAGAAAAAAATACTTAGGAATAAACTTAACCAAGGAGAGAACAACTTATACACTGAAAAACAGTGATGAAAAATTAAAGACAAAAACAAATGGAAAGATATCCCTCATGTTTATAAACTGGAACTTAATTTTGTCCAAATAACCATACTACCCAAAATGATCAACAGATTCAATGCAATTGAAATCCCAATGCATTTTTTACATAAATAGTAAAACAAGTCAAAAATTCATATGGCTTCACAAAGGACCCTAGATAGCCAAAACAATCTTGGAAAGAAGATCAAGCTGGAGGCATCAAACTTCCTAATTGCAAAATATATCACAAAGCTAAAGTAATTAAAACAATATGGTACTGTTAGAAAAAACAGACCACGGGAAGAATAGAATCCAGAAGTAAATCGACATGTATACAGTCAGCTGATCTTTTACAAGGATACCAAGGGGTACACAATAAGGAAAAGGCAATGTCTTCAACAAATGTCATTGGAAAAACTAGTTATCCATATGCAAAAGAATGAAACTGAACCCTTACCTTACACTATGTACAAAAATCAACTCAAAGTGGATTAAAGACTTAAACCTAAGACCTAAAACTGTAAAACTCCTATAAGAAAACATAGGGGAAAATCTTCATGACATTGATCTTGCAAGGATTTTATGGATATAACACCAAAGACCCAGGAAATAAAAGCAAAAAATAGATAAGTGGGACCTACATAAAACTAAAAAGCTTCTGCATAGCAAAGGAAACAACCAACAGAGTGAAAAGGAAACCTCTGGAGAAAAATATTAGGAAGAAAATATTTGCAAATCATATATCTGATAAGGGGCTAATATCCAAAATATATAACTCCAAAGCAAAACAAAACAAAACAAAACTAATAACCTTGGTTAAAAATGGGCTTGGACTTGAATAGACATTTCTTCAAAGAAGACATACAAATGGGCAAAAGGTATATGAAAAGATGCTCAATGTCATTAACCATCAGGGCAATGCAAATCAAAAGCACAGTGAGATACCACCTAACACCTATTATGATGGCTACTAGAAAAAAATTGTTTAATGTTTATTTATTTTAAGAGAGAGAGAGAGAGTGAGTGCTAGCAGGGGAGGGGAACAGAGAAAGGGAGAGAACCCCAAGCAGGCTCCACACTGTCAGCACAGAGCCTGATGTGGGGCTTGATCCCATGACCCTCGAGATCATGATCTGAGCTGAAGTCAAGAGTCAGACACTTTACCGAATGAGCCACCCAGGCGCCCTAAAAAAATTTTCTTAAAGACAGGTATTGATGAGGATGTAGAGAAATTGGAACTGTTGTCCACTATTGGTGGAAATGCAAAATGGTGCAGCCACTATGGAAAAGAGTATGGAGGTTCCTCAAAAAGTAAAAGTAGAACTACCCTAGGATCCAGCAATCCCACTTCTGGGTATTAACCCAAAATAACTGAAATCAGAATATCGAAGAGATACCGGCACTCCCATACTCACTGTTGGCACTCTTTACAATGGCCAAGATGTGAAAACAATCTAAAAATCCATCAACACCTGAATGAATAAAGAAAATGTGGTATATATATATATATATATATATATATATATATATATATACACACACACAATGAGATATATATACCACATATGTGGTATATATATCTGTGGTATATATATGTGGTATATATATATATATATATATATACACACACACACACACACACAATGAGATATTAATCAGCCACAGAAAAAGAATAAAATCTTGAAATATGTAACAACATGATGAACCTTGAGGACATTCTGCTGAGTGAAATAAGCCAGTCAGAAAGACAAATACTGCAAGATTCCACTTATATGAGGTATCTAAAATAGGCAAACTCATAGAAGCACAGAATGGTAGTTTCCAGGGGTTGGGGGGAGGAGAAAATGGGGAGCTGCTAATTAGTGGGTATAAAGTTTCGATTATGCAAGATGAGTAAATTCTAGAGATCTGCTGTTCAACATTGTACCTATAGACAACAATACTGTATTTTACACTTAAAAATATGTTAAGAGGGTAAATCTCATGTTACCACAAAAAAATTAAAATGTTAAAAAAATATATGTAAGTAATAAATCACTGAATTCTACTCCTGAAACCAATATTGCGCTGTATGTTAACTAAAATTTTAATCAAAAAAAATTTTTTAAATGACAAATATGGAGTAAATTATAATTTTCAAAGTCTTAAAAGACTCTTAGAATCACAGTCCATACTCTATTCTAAGTCCTTCTTTCTCCTTTTACTTGTAAAGGTGAAAATGACCAGAGAGTTTTCTTTCAGCCCCAAGGCAGACCCTCCTTCTCTTCTTAGTAACTTCTCTATCAGGACAGAAGAAACAACCAGAGACTAACAATTAAATGCCTCTTGGGATATTTTTCAAACCAGGTTAAGAGAAAACTTTCTTAACATGGAGTATTTTTAAAAAGGTTCACACAATGAATACAAGAGGGTTCATCATACTATTATCTCTACAGTTTTTTGTCTATGTTTGAAATTTTCCTTAATTAAAAGGAGTAAAAAAGCCCACAGATGCAAGAATGTACAACTTAAGGAATGTGCTGGGAAACACACACACACACACATTTTTGATCCGATGTTTCCTCAAAATATAACCAACTATAGTGGAGGGAGAAAAATTAAGGTTACTTTATAAGTCTTAAAAAATAAAAAGGAGTGGGGCACCTGGGTGGTTCAGTTGGTTGAGCATCCAACTCTTGATTTCGGCTCAGGTCATAATCTCACAGTTCGTGGGTCTGAGCCCTGTGTCTGCCGGCAAGGAGCCTGCTTGGGATTCTCTCCCTCTCTCTCTGACCCTCCCCTGCTTGTGTACATGTTCTCTCTCTCTCTCTCAAAATAAATAAACTTTAAAAAAAATTAAAAAATAAAAAGGGCTGATAGAAAAACCTCACAGAGAAAGAGATTTTTTAATTAGGTTCTAAGGCAGACCATAAAAACTCACTCAAAACAAATGCTTTTGCAAATTAATGGTAAGGAGACTCAGGATTGAGATAAACTAACTGTTTAAAACAGCTATAAAACAATTACTATATTTTCAAGGCACCTCAAAACATGGTTGTGTTTAAACATTTTTTTGTATTAAAAATATTCCAAATATTTTTTTAAATTAAGATTATCTTTTTATCACCTAGCTTAGAACTAGAAGGACATGTTAATTAAATGTTTGTTCATTATTCATTATTCATCTGTTCATTCATTTATGACAATCCTACGTCAGGCACCAGATAAGGTCTCTGTTCTGAAGCTTAGTAAGGGGAGACAGACATTAAATGAGCAAAGAAATTAATAAAGTTTACTTTAGATAAAATACAACTAAAGTATAGCTGATTCTTATTATTCACAATAGTTATGTCCTATAAAGTTGCCATAAACACTAAAGTAGCAGATATAGAACCACTGCTCCTAGAGGAAATATGAAATTAGGTTCCTGTGAGCCTCTGGTCACAACATTTTTATCAACTGACCAATACTTTCTTTTTAGTGTGTTTCTGTTTAAAGATACCTTATTTAATATATATTGTTGAGTCATTAACATCAGACCCATGGCCAACAGCAGTATAACTCATGCCTGAAGGAAGCTTATCTAACACATGTATTTTCTCCATAAGACACAGCATCATCTTCTTGTGCTTAGGAACACCAGACAGAACTTCAGCACTACACTTCTAGCAAAATCACCAAAAAAAGCACAAACATATAAAAACACATGGCACTAAATAGATAGTGAAAAGGACATTTCCTTACAGTATGAACACTGTAACAAGAAGGTGGACTATGACCTTGTTCGACCTCAGTGGCAAAGTGTATGTCAGGCAATGCAAATTTTTTACAACTCTGCACATGTCCGCAAGTGACTGGGAATGCACCACAACTACTGATTTCCGAATTACAAATAGATTTTAACGAGTAGGTGAATTAGCAAATACAGAATCCATGAATATTAAGGATTGACTATAGTTCATCATGGCAATGTGCCAAGGGGAAGGAAGTACTTTGGACTGGGTAGCTAAGGAAGACCATATAGATGAGGTGGT